TTTTTGTGTAATGAAATAAATGCTTTATGAACAGGATTTTATTAAAATTTTATATAACCGATTTTAAATAGTTTTATGAGGCTTCATTATTATCTTAGTAAGTTTCTCCTTATTGGTATTAAAAGCGAATTTAATTCATAGTTCGTTGACATCTAGGAATGGCCGAGAGGTAAAGATTCTCTTAATGAGGATCTTCGATCGGTTCCTGTTTATCCATGATTCGAATGAGGATTTCTCTCTATCCGAATTAACTTTTTGAATAGTATATACGATAGACAATAGATACAGAATGGATAATAGTTTTCAGTGATGAATTTCATTATACATCGTATCTTCAGTAATAAACAAAATTCAGGAAGCCATACAGCTTTTAATTCACGACGTCTAGTCAATTCTCATTCCAACTTAACTACATTGCTATTCTACTAATAAAATAAGAAATTTACAGTTGAACTTTAATTACATGATAGAGTAGCGTTTCTAAATAAGATTTTTCTATTATTTAAACTACTTCCCTTCGTGCACTAATAGAGCCTTTTTTTTTTTAAGCAAGTCCGTTAGGGATTTGGCCCAGCCCCAAAATGAGGCAGCCGGGTGGTAAAGGAAGGGCCACTCCCGAAAAATTCCTGGAATTTTTTCGATCCTGGATCTCCTCTATAGGTAGATTGTCATCTTAACCTCTCGGCCATACTGTCCTGTTTTCAAATAGTGGCATTTCATACACTAAAAAGTGTTAACTGGATAATCTATAGATTTAATCATTAAAATTATGAAATTATTATCGCAAAAGTATTAATTTTTACATTCGATTTCTTCCTTCAATAAAGCTAATTGAATTTTAAAATTAAATTAGCTTTAAGGAAAAATGCCAGTCTTAACAAGAATGTTACCATTTTCTGAAGAAATAAATCAATAATAATAATAATATCAATAATTGTTATTCTTTAATGATATTACGATTTAAATATTTATAAAAATCTTAATTATATTAAATTGGATTTTTTTTCCTAGTCTGAAGCAGCATTCCTTATTCTTTACTCATACTGATCGATTCCATTGTGGGCAAGCCTTTGTGTGATGGAAGTAATTGTGCTCGACATCATATTATAGTGTTTTGCTTTAATTAATTAATTTTTTCTCTGTAATTTTAAGTATTGTTTTCTAAAATAAAAAATTCGCTTTGCTCTTTGCTTTAAAACTCTTCGCTATTTAAACAATATTATAATATAAATCTTCATNTTGCCAAAGAGTTCTATTTCTCCGCTTCATAAAATCTTTCTATCTAGGTTACACGGTCTCCAGTTCTTTTCTTTTTATAGAAAATAATTTAAATATCGGTTTATGAAGTGGAGTAGTTTGGCAATAAGTGAAATGCTAGGAATACACGCTAATCAGATATTCATTTATAATATTCTTATATCACGCACTTTACAGAGTAGGCCTATTCATTACTAACTTTACTTATCGATTATAATATTACGATCTTTTAGTATGGGCGTCGGCTTTTTCATTCGTGTCGAAAGTTCAAAATGTGCGGTTTATTTTCTATCTAAACATTTGTTCTTCATGCAAATATTCAAACTTAATTTTTTTGGTATAAAAGAATAATAATAATAATAATGTATATTTTGCATTCGATTAGTAGTATCCTATAACGAAATCTCATATTGTATCTACTGCTACATTATGTAAATTTTCTTTCTTGTAATCCATTCTTTGACATTTCGATAACTTTATAACTGTAAAATTTCATTAAAAATTCATTTTTACATTCCCAGTTTTGTTATATATAACAGATGAAAAGTGTGACGATTGGTCAAAAAATGACCCCCAAAATTGGAGGTTTTTTTTCTGTATGTATGGATGTAGTGTGTGAGAGGGTGCACGATTTTTTTCACCTTCTTTGAAGCTTAATAACTCCTGTATTTTTGATGAAAAATTTTTGAAATTTTTCAGGGAGGTTTGCGTATTAGGGAGGTTGACGCTATTAAATTTTGGTAGTTAAAGGTCGGCGGAGTAGGGAGATAAAGGGGGTCGTGTGTCATACCTCGAGTAGGATCAGACTTACGATTTTATTCGTTATTAGCATTTACAATTTTTTTTATAAAACTCATCCCTACCGTTCAAATTAAGCTTTTTGCCATTTTATATAAATATAAAATGTTTTTTTGTTTTAATAAAATATCATAACAGATGGCGCCATACACGCAGTTATCAATATTGCCGAGATAGTTAAGCAACTCGTTGCTGAATTTTTATAATTAATTTCTCGTAATTTTCATTTTTAAAATCGCCGAATTTTAAATAAAAAAACCGAAAAAAAAAATCAATTTTTGTTTTACAAATTTTCAAAGACTAATTTATGAGTTACAGTTTTGTTTTCGTTAGCGTTATATAATAATTCCATTACTCATAATTATCTTTTATTTAGAATAAAATTGAATAAAATAAGTATTTAACTTTAATATAAATGATGAATTTATAAAGTAAATCAACCGTAACGAAGTTTTTTATATTATAAAACATCCATTTGTTTTGACTTAAAGAAAAAAGAACATAAACATAGTGCATAAAGTTTCCTGTAAATTGAATTTAAAGTAGACAGAATATAATGTTATAGTGAGAAATATTTTCCAAAAAACTAAAAAATAAAATAAAAAAAAATAAAAAAAAAAAATTAGACTTCTGCATCGACAATCAAGCTACTAGATGGATCGAAAGAATCTCCAACCTTAAAACTCATTTCCATATTCGTTCAATGGAAGATTTGATATGCATTTTTCTTCATATACAGCAACACTAATTAAACTCAAAGCTAACTGAAGCATTTTAAATGAAAAATTTTAACAAATTTCTTTCTAAATTTCGAATATTTATTCATTGTAAATTTAGTTATGTAAGAAGCTAACTTATATGGATGCCACACTTGGGAGTTTCATCCCCCTCGAAAATTACTTTTAAAAAATTAACTAAATTTTTGAAATTAATAATTAAAATTCGGTTTTTATAAATGAAAATACATTATAAAAATCTTTATATTAAAACATATTGAAACACAATTAAGTTCGGTACTTTTTTGAATTGATTCTATGAAATGATCTTGACTAAATGGATTCACTTTTATTGTTTTTATAGTAGTAGCAATTATTGGTAACATTCCTTGCTTTTTTTTTCATAATTTACTGCTTAAAATTTAAAATAAAATAGTCTCGTTATTAAATTTTTACATATTTTAATAAGCTCTCATTCAAACTTACTTAAAAATCCATTAAGTTAAAACACGTAGCTTTAATTATTTATGCAAATAAAGTTAAATTTTTTGAATTTGCACGCCTTTAATCTATCAAAAATATATTTTTTAATGTTATTTAGATGCAAGAATTGACTAGATGTAGTCTTTTCTCATCTCTTCCTTCCTATTCGTTTTATCTTGCTTATATGCAATAAATGAAGTTTTTATGATTCCTTTCCATCCAGGAAAATCCCACGAGGATTCCACTGGAACATTCGCTGTTTATGATCTATATTAATTGCATCTTCTCGTACCAAAATGGTACCATACGGCCTGGCTAACGTTCTCATTAACATCAAAAACTGCATATTTAATTACCTGAAGCAAACAAAATTACAAGGACCTGGATAATATTCAAATTTTTGTTTCCTCCTTTGCCAAAGAGTTCTATTTCTCCGCTTCATAAAATCTTTCTATCTAGGTTACACGGTCTCCAGTTCTTTTCTTTTTATAGAAAATAATTTAAATATCGGTTTATGAAGTGGAGTAGTTTGGCAATAAGTGAAATGCTAGGAATACACGCTAATCAGATATTCATTTATAATATTCTTATATCACGCACTTTACAGAGTAGGCCTATTCATTACTAACTTTACTTATCGATTATAATATTACGATCTTTTAGTATGGGCGTCGGCTTTTTCATTCGTGTCGAAAGTTCAAAATGTGCGGTTTATTTTCTATCTAAACATTTGTTCTTCATGCAAATATTCAAACTTAATTTTTTTTGGTATAAAAGAATAATAATAATAATAATGTATATTTTGCATTCGATTAGTAGTATCCTATAACGAAATCTCATATTGTATCTACTGCTACATTATGTAAATTTTCTTTCTTGTAATCCATTCTTTGACATTTCGATAACTTTATAACTGTAAAATTTCATTAAAAATTCATTTTTACATTCCCAGTTTTGTTATATATAACAGATGAAAAGTGTGACGATTGGTCAAAAAATGACCCCCAAAATTGGAGGTTTTTTTTCTGTATGTATGGATGTAGTGTGTGAGAGGGTGCACGATTTTTTTCACCTTCTTTGAAGCTTAATAACTCCTGTATTTTTGATGAAAAATTTTTGAAATTTTTCAGGGAGGTTTGCGTATTAGGGAGGTTGACGCTATTAAATTTTGGTAGTTAAAGGTCGGCGGAGTAGGGAGATAAAGGGGGTCGTGTGTCATACCTCGAGTAGGATCAGACTTACGATTTTATTCGTTATTAGCATTTACAATTTTTTTAATAAAACTCATCCCTACCGTTCAAATTAAGCTTTTTGCCATTTTATATAAATATAAAATGTTTTTTTGTTTTAATAAAATATCATAACAGATGGCGCCATACACGCAGTTATCAATATTGCCGAGAAAGTTAAGCAACTCGTTGCTGAATTTTTATAATTAATTTCTCGTAATTTTCATTTTTAAAATCGCCGAATTTTAAATAAAAAAACCGAAAAAAAAATCAATTTTTGTTTTACAAATTTTCAAAGACTAATTTATGAGTTACAGTTTTGTTTTCGTTAGCGTTATATAATAATTCCATTACTCATAATTATCTTTTATTTAGAATAAAATTGAATAAAATAAGTATTTAACTTTAATATAAATGATGAATTTATAAAGTAAATCAACCGTAACGAAGTTTTTTATATTATAAAACATCCATTTGTTTTGACTTAAAGAAAAAAGAACATAAACATAGTGCATAAAGTTTCCTGTAAATTGAATTTAAAGTAGACAGAATATAATGTTATAGTGAGAAATATTTTCCAAAAAACTAAAAAATAAAATAAAAAATAAAAAAAAAATTAGACTTCTGCATCGACAATCAAGCTACTAGATGGATCGAAAGAATCTCCAACCTTAAAACTCATTTCCATATTCGTTCAATGGAAGATTTGATATGCATTTTTCTTCATATACAGCAACACTAATTAAACTCAAAGCTAACTGAAGCATTTTAAATGAAAAATTTTAACAAATTTCTTTCTAAATTTCGAATATTTATTCATTGTAAATTTAGTTATGTAAGAAGCTAACTTATATGGATGCCACACTTGGGAGTTTCATCCCCCTCAAAAAAAAAAATAAGCTTAATTCCAGCTACAATTATTTATTTCATAAAAATATATTTTAAAAAAGATTATTTTATAGTAAAATATATTTATATTTATATAAAAATCCTCAACTGTTTCTCTCTTCGATTCGGATCATCACGTCTTTCGGTCGATGTAAACCCAATCCACCATAAAATTGTAACGGAATCTAAAAAATTCAATAGATTCTTAACACTTATATCACCCCACTTAACTGCTAAAGGATATTAATTGCATTTCTGTAAACATTTCTACGAAACACAATAAAAAAAAATATATATATATATATTTAAAAAAATCTCTCGCAATCGATCACGGTCAATGGATAAAGAAGAGAATCTAATTAATCACCTTAGTGGAAGGGCATTTCAGGAATCTGAAATGTGTTAAGAGGGTTATCAAACATATTTTCATCTCCATCATGGCGAATCTTCTTCCTAAGCATTTCCTGGGGCCGGCACCGAACGGTAGGAAGGTATAAGGTTCGATAAAGGATTTATTCTCTGGCAGGAATCTAAAATATCGCGAAGAAATACAGTTAATTGGCGCTCGAAGATCTTTTTTTAATCTTAAATCCTGTGTTTTGTACCTTGTTGGATCGTAAATTTCGGGATTGCTGTACCATTCTGGATTGTGATGCATAGCGTAAACGGGCACGGCTACTAACATCCCTTTTGGTATGACTATTTCAGTGTTACTCAATTTAATATCTCGAACTGGTCTTCTTTCAATCCTATTCACGAATTTCTTTTTATACGTGGCCGATAACTATTAAAATATGCTTAAATTTCATCGTTTTACCTAGGAACCGGGCAGCAAAATCTCAATGACTCATTGATCGCAGCTTCTAAGTATTTCATGTCATTCACATATGAGAAACTCGAGTCTTCCTGAAACAATTGGATTTTAAATTAGAGCGCTAAAAAATAACGTCATCGATTCGGCAATTTTAGTTATTAAACTAATTCGAATTTATCACCAATTTTAATTAAATCGTTAATATAAATTAATTACGTATACTCAGAAAGAATAATTAAATATCATTCATTAAAATTTGATTAAATTATCATTTTAATTTTAAATAACGATAAAAACTATCAGCAGATGGCGCCACGTGATATTTAATGAATAATAATGAATATATATATATATTTTTAAATATTCGTTAATTTTCATTCGCTATCTTTCGATCACGTGACTGTGTTTCGACCTATCGGATTATTTATTTCAAAAACAAAGTTTGCTGTATAATTAAAGAATATTAACTATTAAGTAAAATATTTATTATCTCAACGGGGAATAGAAGTCATTCATCATTTTATAATTTACACTAATGAATTACCGAATTTTTCGTAGTGGCATCTATCTCTTCAATCAATCTCTGCTGACAATCTTCATTAAGAGCTAGATTGTAAGCTGTTAATATTAGAGTGTTAGTGGTAGTGTGATATCCAGCCAGAATGAACAGAATGCATTGAGCCACAATCTCGTCCAAGGAGAGAACTAAAGACAAAATTTCTGATTAATTACACAGAGAACAGAATCTACCAAATTAATCAAACTTACCTTTTCTACGTTCCTGATTGTTGCTAGTTTCTACATTCTCCTCGTTAGCATCTAGCAGCAATTGGAGAAAATCTTTCTTTATCTATGGAATAAAAGAGAGAAAAATCCGAATTCCCGTATCAAAATAACCCGGTTTTTTTTCGGCAAATATTCAAATTTTTACACTTTTCGGTTCCTTTTTTCGCTCTTCGATTAACTGAAGTACGAGTTGCTTGAAGAACGAAATAACTTTCGGCGAAAATAAGCTCAGTCGAAATAATTTAGCCAAGCGCGGAACAGAAACTGCAAATAAAACAAAGATTTTCAGTAATAAACAAAAGAAAATTATTGTTACTAATCGGTACTTTAGTTTTTTTTTTTTTTTTCTTACTTACAAGCAAATGTGACCCGCCAAGTTCTTTTACTAAATAAATGTCTAACAGCTTCCACGAAAGGATTATCGGGATCATTAAAAGAATCTAATCTGGTGCCAAAAGCGCATCTAGCTATCACGTCGATCGTAAATGCACCGAACAACCTTTAAATAAATAAATAAATAAATATTGGTGTCTTCTGCCATTAAACGTAATAAAAAAAATAATAATAAAACCTACAAAAATCTTGGGCATTCTTTAATGAAGTGGCCCACAAAAGTAATAAATTAAACGGTCGCGTAATAGAATCATCCAGCACGAATCCCTCAATTCGTGCTGGATGAGGGTTTTAATTATTATGATTTAAAATTAAATAGTTAATATTTATAAGGTAATTAAAATAAATTTAAGTCTCCATTTTTTTTTCTTTTTTTTTTTTAACGAATACCTTCCGCATTCTATTTCCTTTTCCTTTCTTGCTTCAAACGAGAAATTATTTTTTAATGCCAAAGCGCATTCTTTAATTAAGTAGCACATCTAAACACGGATATTTAAAAAAATATATTATTTTTTGTAAAAATAATTATAATAAAATATATTATTATTTCTTCTTAAAAAAATATATTTCTAATGAATTGAATTTTTACTGTTTTTATTTTTCCTGAACTGAATGTCGGCGTCATAATAGTACGTACACGTTTCCATTCTTCACTATCTAGCGAGACTAGCATTCGATCGATGATTGGATTACCGAATTTTAAATCCTGTAATACCATTGGACGATTAAATATTTAAATTTGTATAATATCAATTTCAATTTATAATTAATTTTAAAATTTCTATTCACTCGTGGACTCGAAAATACTTGGAAATCGCGAACAAAAACGTCTTTTATTAGAGCTGGTTCGGCTAAAATCAAAATTGGTTTTCTTCCTTCGAAAATCCTATCGAAGTAGAAACGTAATTTAGGATTATAAGATATATTCTTACACTATTTAAGTCAAGAAACTTTGCTTTATACCCAAAAATCCTTCCATATTTTTGACACCATTCTAATTCGACATAACCTTGAGGCTGTATGTATATGATTAGAATTATATAAAATTACGATTAAAATTATAAATTTAGTATCAAAAATACTACCTTATTCCATTGTATACCGTACGAACCAAATAACAGAATTGGTTTAACATAAGGTATCCCCCTTTTCTCCCAATAACCATAAGTTCTCGTTAAGCATCTAAATATATTAGAAAACGTTATTTTTAATTATAGAAAACTTTAAATATAATTGTCTAACAGTTTTAGAATTTATACAAAAATCTAAAAATTATCTAAACAATATAATTTGTCTACAACTACAAATACTAAAACGTATACAGCTTCTATTTATTATGTGTATTGACTAAAGTACAAACTAAATAGCTAGAAAAATTATCGATTAAATATATTTATAATTTATTATAATAAATAAAATATATTTTAAACTTACAGGTAAATTGTAAAAATTAAAATTATAGAAGAGAGTAACCATAGCATCCTCTCTAAGCTGTTTAAAAATCTTTCTAGATTACAGTTCCTGTCTAAACTTTACATACATCCTGCAACCGGATGTATGGCAAAATTTAAAATTTAAATACTTTAAGAATTGAACAAATCATGCAAAAATATTATGTAAAAAAACACAGAATTAAGATAAATATAGTAAATAAAGAAGATAAATTCTTTCCTAGTGTTTCAAATATCTCATACCATAACTGTATAGACTTAAAGTTTAATTAACCTGTTACTTTCATTTCGAAACTTTTCCTCGGCTTAAAAAATATAAATGAAGTATAATTAAAATGGCGGAACTTTCGCACCAACAATGCATCCTAATCTTAATCGGATTACGTTTTTAAATAAGAAATTTAAACTGTGCAAAAAGTAAAACATAGGAATTACGTATTAAATAGAAATTCACGGGTCAAAGGTTACTTTTTTATTTATTTTAGATTTAACTTTTCTATGATTAAGCAATTGTCATTTTATCTAAGTTTTGCCAGCAATTTAGATGAGAATTGTTAATTAATCTATGCGTAGGGTAGCTTCTTGTTTTCCGTTAAATTTACCATCAAGTATTAATGAGAGTAAAATTAAAAATAGTAAGAAATTAAGTAATAGTTACATACAAAAAGGGCCGGCTCAAACTGAGAGTCCACTCTCAGAGAGGCCCTGCACTTATACGAAGGACATTCAAAAATTCCCGGGAGATGTAAATTAATTAAAATAAATAAAGACAAAGATAATTTGAAATTCATATAACACCATGCTTAAGTATAACGTAGCACTGTCGTAAATATTTTGGGGCCCCACTAATAACTTTTACCGAGGCCCCGTAAGTTCTGTATTCAGTTCTGCATACAAATATTGTTTTTTTTTCCGTATGTCGTGTTTACAAGAGGAGTTTCGAAATGAAACACGAATTGCATATACAGAGTGTCTCAAAAGTCACTATCTATTTTGAAAAATAGTTGGAATTACGAAAAGTTAATTTAAACATAAAAAATATATTTGTTTAAAAGTATATGCCGTAAAAAATTAGTGCTTCACGTAACGATCATCAGTGTCTGTACAGAAGTCAAAAGCGATAAGTTGCTTCCTGGAACACTTTCCAGCATAACAACTCATGAATAGTCCTGTCTGTTAGACCTTCCTTACGCAACTTCCTTTTAAATTTCCTCTAATTTTCTCACATTTCAAGCCTTTTAACTTGCATGTTACCATAAACACTCGTTCTTCAACTGATCAATCATCACTGATGAACGTGGAAGAATAATATTAAAATTTAAAAACTACAGACTTCTACTACAATCTTCATGACAGTTTATCATCTAACTTTTGAAACATCCTGTATAAGGAATACAGGTTTAATTAAAGTTCAAGCTATACGACGTATGAACAATTTGGAACAATAGGAAACAATTTATCCTCTTCATTTACTAAATTGTTTTCATCCAAATTCCAACAAATACTTTAAGATCAATAAATAAATTTATTAAAGTTCAAAACTTTACATCATTTTATACAGTAATTTCATATTTATATAAATAAATGCTAATTTAAAAAAATATGATGATGTTTTTTTTTTAATTTTATTTAATGAATTTATATGAAGTTTGATATGTGGATAAGTTAATGGGCACGTTAATTGTCTTTAAGTCACTAAAAGGTGTGCGTATTGACAGGAGATCTGGAAGGCAAGTAGGGAGTATTGATATTCGAGTCACATTTTACTATGGATCCTTCTTTAAAAGATTCTGGCCTGTTGCTAGATTCTTGGAAACTTCTTTCCTCTTCTCTATGGCATATGTTTGCCAAGTCTATATTTTCCTTTAAAAATAAAAGAAAAAGACATATTAAGTAAAGAAACTTTTTAAAACATTATTTATTAGACTTAACCATGGCTATCTAAATGGATGCTTTTTAGATAAAGTGTAAAGTATTAAACTACCTGATCCAGAATATCCTTTTTAATCTGAAATTCTCTATACTTTTCAACGTAGCTGGAATTAGGTATGGACTTAATTTTCAATTTTCTAAGAGCAGCTTTAAACCTTTGTCTAGATCTTACAAGTTCTTGAGTTGTAGAAGGTAAATCGCGACCTTTTAATTTATCCCAGTCCTAAAATTATATTTAAAAAAAATTATTTAAAAGCTCTTTCCTATTAAAATATAATTTAATAAATTTTATATAATTTTTTCTAACTTTAATTTTCATTTGTTTATAAACAATTTTTAAATTTAATTTCAATTTAAAAGAATTTTATACGCGCTCTTAGCTAATGGTACCATACGGCC